GAAAATAAAACTCATCTAGGCGTTTCCAGTAAAGGAGGTGGGAGAAGACTTTTAAATACAAGGCATTGCTTATAAATGTGTTGCAAAACTTGGAGGCATAAACAGAGAGAATGGTGTTACTAAAGACCAGTGACTGCAAAAAGCTGCCCTTGTGTTCAGAGCTGCTGGAAAGTGATGGGTCTAGAGTTAGGCTCCTGCTTCTGCTAATGCTTTCACCTCACTTCTACCTTCTACTGCCACGTGAATGCATTCAAACAGCAAAACCTAAGTAGAGGCTTAGAGTGCCTCATGCATGAAATCCCAGCACCCAGGAGACTGAGGCAGGAGGGCTAGAAACTTGAGACCAGTATGAACTACATAGTGAGACTATCTCAAAAACCTAAAAACCTAGCATTTAGACAAGAGCTGGAAAGAGCCTGGAACATTTAGTCTCCAGGCTTTCTCTCTCACTGCAGTAGCAGGGCTGGTGTTGGATAAGTGTCAACAGACAGTAGTCTGTGGCCAATCTATTATTTACCCTCTATTTCTATTGCTATTTGTGCCATTATCACTGTTTGCTTATTGACTACTTCCTAGTTAGAATCTCAACTGTGTATGAATAGGGAATCTGTCTTTCTGACCTATCACAGACCTCCTGTATCGGAACACTGCCTGTCACTAGTAGCATAGTAAGTGGGGAGGGGTTGGGAGTGGTGCACCACAGCAGAGAGAGGAATTTTAAAATTTATTTCAATGTTTTCTTACAGATATATAATGTATGTTGAACATATATTCCTCCCCCTGAAAAAAGACTGTTTATCACTGACATTGTTTAAAATAGCTACTTCATTTTTATTTAATAAAAAGCAAACTGACATTTACTCCATTTTATTACTGTTTTCTAATTTTCTATAGACAGTGCATTCTCTATTTCTGTTCCCATGGATATTTGTTAAAGATCAAATGTCAGCTCGTTACTAAGCAACAATTCTTTTGTTGTTGTTCTTTGTTTTTGAGACAGGGTCTCATGAAGTCCAGGATAGTTTTACTCCTCCCATGAAAAAAGTGATTTCTAGTACCATGTATGTGGACTGGAAGGTACCATATATACCTAGAGGGAAGTCTTAAAAACTTTGGGTTTCCATGTATAGTGACACTTGTACTAGATATTTATAGGCATCTTGGAGGTTCCCCAAGATTATTATTAAAAAAAAATACTGATTCCTACACAGAACAGGAAGTTTCTAGGCCAGGGTGGCTCCTGCAGTTCTTAGTATGAGTCTTATCTTCTTATGCCTGAGCTGTCACTTGCAGAATAAACAGTGTAGCTACAGAAGGTTATGAGGATTGCTAAGAGCATTGTTCTCCTGAGTAAGAAAGCTATCAATGTCTGATGGTGCCCTGTTTGATGCTGTTTCTTGTTCAATATATTTCTAAGAACACTGGTTCAAGCTTATTTTCTAAAAATTACTATTAAATTTAAGAGAGATTCTTACTGGCTGGCCTGGAACTCATTTCACAGGCCAGGCCAGCCCCGAACTTGTGGCAGTCCTCCTGTCTCTTCTTCCCAAGTACTGGGATTAAAGGCATGTGCCACCACATGGCCTGGATGTCCATGGGATTCACACATGCAAGAAAAATCCTCTACCAGTCAGCAATACCCCTCAGCCCTCGAATCCAAGTGTATACACATACACACACACACACACACACACACACACACACACACACACACACGTATATATTTACACAATGTCAGAGGTTAAGAATGTGTATTCTGCATAATGGGCATTAACGGCTTAGATGCAAGATTGTAAAACATCGGTAGTGAACTTCTGCCCTCTGGGGTTCTCCCATTGTGCTGTAAACCTGTATTTAAGACCTCCTCCCTCCTTCAATAAACGGCATTCGGCTTTAAAAAAAAAAGAGGGGAGGGGAAGCTGTGGTCGGGGTGTAAAATAAATGAAAAAATTTAATTAATAAAAAATAAAATTAAAAAAAAAGAATGTATACTTATAATCACATAATAGTACTGCCTAAATTTTAACCTGCATAGTTTACTGAAATAAATATCTAAACTATATATTCTGAGACATAGTTAATAATTCTATTTCCTTAATTTTATTAAGGCTATAGCTTCACACAACATTGGGAAGGTTTTATATAGCTACACAGATATTTTGTGTGACATTCTTAAATTTATTTATTTATTTATTTTATATGTATGGGTGTTTCGCCTGCATGTGTATCTATGAACCATGTGCATATAATACTTGTGGAGGCTAGAAGAGGGCATTGGATCCCCTGGAACTGGAGTTATAACAGTTGTGGGCTACTGTGTGGCTGCTGGGAAATAAACCTGGGTCCTCTGGAAGACGTCTAATGGTGGCAATCTCTCCAGCCCTTTGTACAATATTCCTTAGGTTGCCTAGAGCAACTGTCTTGCTTGTCTCTGTTTGAATGCATCCATATGGTATAACATTAGATTTAAGAAGTGTACACAGAGAAGTGCAAACGTTAATGGTTATGAGAGTCCATCTCACCCCACTCTGAATGGTACCGTGAAGAAAACGAGTGTCAACAACTGCTGTCGAGGAGGGAGGGGAGAAGAGCCCTTCTTCACTGTCCCTGGGATGGAAACTGCTGTCGAGGAGGGAGGGGAGAAGAGCCCTTCTTCACTGTCCCTGGGATGGGGACTGCTGTCGAGGAGGGAGGGGAGAAGAGCCCTTCTTCACTGTCCCTGGGATGGGGACTGGTGAAGCCACCACGGAAATCAGTGTGGAGGTTCTTCAAAACTGACAACAGAAGCGTGGGATTAGCAGAGGACCAAGTCAGCACACCACAGGCATACCTGCACAGCCAGCTGTTGTTGCTGTGCTCTTCATAAAAGCCAAGACATGGAGAGAGCCTCCATGTCCATCAGTGGATAAAGAGAATGTGGTACACAGACAGGATTTTCTTCAGACATAAATATGTTTATGTAGGTGGTAATAAATAAGAGCAAAGGCCAGGAGATTATGAAGAGGCCCATGAGCATGGGAAAAAAGAAGCTTTTAGAGAGAAGGGGGAAGGGAACAAAGTAGAAGGAGGAAGAATGAAAGAATAAAATGAGCACAGTAGGGAAAGCAGGGCTACGGAGTTTTTGGGAGTTGGAACAAGCATGGAGTCAACCAAAATGTAAAATGGATGAAAACAGTGTATGAGAACACATTCCTTGTAAGCTAAATAAAAAATCTGTATGGAAAAAAAGAAATCCTGATATTTGCAGGAAAGTAGATGGGACAGGGAATATTATGTTAAGTAAAAAAAGCCAGGTCCAGAAAGAAAACTACTGAATACTTACCTCATATGTGGAGAACAGATGTATGTTTATGTGCACACACATGTGTGTATGTGGGGGTCATTAAAGCAGAAAGAAGACCACGGGATGGAGGAAAAGACCCTCAGTGGGTTAAGGAAATGAAATACATTTGACACGAGGTCAGAAGGCAGGACTCTCTGGGGAGAGGAGAATGAGCAAAAGGGGGACAAATGACACAGGACAGTACAGTGGTGAGGGGATGAAAGAGAGCAAGGACAAAGGCACACAATGAAAACGCCACAGTGAGACCTAACGTGTCATAGGCTGACCTGAACTAATATTTAAGGGGAGCTTGCACTGAGACTGGACCGAGGATAGCCTTGTTACATTAACAGATAAGTGCAACTTCTTTCAGCATCTTTGAAAATAAATGGAGTTGTTTTTGTAGCTGTTATTGTTTTCTACTATCTAAGGATCTCAAGCCTTCAGAAGAGATATTATGTTTTATTTCTTTCTTTTACCACTGATTTCCTCTGTAAGGCTTGGCACATAGAAAACATGTTGAACTAAAGTACATAGTCATAAAAGTAGCTAAATTTGAATATGGGAGGGAGCAACAGCAACATAGAGAGTATAAAATTAGAAGCAAGAACCATGGTACCAGTTAGACACAGGGTTATTAAAACTATCACCGCCCTATCAAAATGACAAGAACATTTGTTTGAGGTCAGTGATAGTTTTTAGGGATGTTTGGTACATTTGTACCTAGGAAGATCTGGAATGCAGATTTAGCTTCCCATTAGCAGAATTAAAAAAAAAAAATCCAATTCTGTTCTTTTACTTTGAGAGATACACTTTCTAAAGACTTCAATACATTAAAAATAATGCTAATAAAAGGTTACTTTCAGAACAAAGAGTTTTTTTTTAAAAGTCCTATTACTCTTTAATAGTATAGTCCAAAGAAATTGCTAAAAATCTTGGTAGGATTTGATTCTGTAACTGAGTTTCTAGACTATTAATCCTTTCACATTCCCAATGTGACTATAGAGCTCCTGGACATTTTAACAACCTAGGCAAGAGAGCAGTCAGGAAGGTTTTCAAGAGTTCTCAGAAAAAGATTGGTTATCATCTCCTTTCCAAGCGAGGCCTGACTAACATGTAGATCCATTTTGAATAGCATACCACTAGAGATGCTTCATTTGAGACCCAAACAAACCCTCATACCAAATCAAATCAAAAAAAGATTATTAACCCCCTCTGGTGATTAGAATTTACAAAGAACTTTAACAAGAAGACAGGCTAGCCACGGTATCTATTTCATTCCCTTACTTCCTAGGATGGCTGGGCCAGCATTTCATAACAGGAGACACAAATCACGTTTCCATAGACTAAGTACAGTATGCAGTCTACAGCTTGCAGCTAACATTCTTTGTTTTTTATATGAGTGGGGAAAGGACATTGGCTATAATACTTCATTCTAAAAATGGAAGGGGATAATTTCTTAATATGTAGTTTCCAGTTTTACCTTATCTTTTGTACCTGAACTATGCCAAGGCCAACTTATTATTTCTCTGAAATGAAGTCCCATTGTTGAGAACCATAATCTACAATGTTCCATTTAATCTACAATGTTCCATTTATGACAGAAAACATGTCAGGAAGGGTTTTATCTTATAAGCTAGCTCTCCCCTTTATTTTATTTCTCTGATTATTTATTTACCTCATTCCCTGTTGACATGACAGCAACCACTGGAAACTTATTAACTTCCACCTCTGTGACACCCACAGTTGCAAGGAGACCAATCTCTGAAGGGCCCATATGGGTTCCTTTGGCCAAAACGCACTCCCCTCTTTTAATGTCATGGCCGATGGGTCTGAAAGTCAAAGCAGAACCATAAGCATTATGGCTAAGACTAACATTTTCTCAACTCAGAGGAAAACGTTAGTATCAGACAGAGGACACAATCAGGGGAGAAAAGAGTTCAGAAATGAGTCAGGAACTCAATAATAAAGAGATTCTAAAAATTCTGAGTTTCTAAAGTTCTATCACACCATAGAAGACAGAATAGGAATTATATTTATGATTGATAAAAGAACATGTTACATCTTATATTTTTATTTTTATTGTATTATACTTAAAATTACCAATTTCAACTGGGAGAAGCTTAGCTTTTTTACAAAGGGATGCTGGGCAAATTAGTATTGATAGAATTTATGTAAACACTTTCTAGTGTAACAAAAATAATTCAAATAATGCATAATATTTATTGTAGATGAGAAACCTCATCTTTACATGCAAGGAACAGCAAATTATTACATTATTAAGGGTAGTTGAGGAGGGTGTTACTATAAGCTACTTGTATAAATATTCAATCATTATTCCAATTTCTGGGTAATCTAGGGGTTGGGACTGAGTAATTTTGGGTTGGTTAGAGGTAGAGTTAACTGTGGGGAAATGAACTTACAACTTTACTTTTTCTCATGTTGATTTTGATAATTTTATTCATTTTTATTATTTTCATTTAAAAGGCAAGACAGAATGGGATGTAAAATTCAGAAAATTCATTTTGCCTCTTGTTAAAGCTTGAGAAAAAATAGCTACTTGATACAGCTGTGGGTTTATAATAGTCGTGTTCCCCTGAGTTTATGATCATGTAGAAACAGTGGGCTGTATATTATGTATATCTGAACTTACCGGATATCTTGGCCTGGCCGAGCCTGCACCAGAATTCGCACTTCAAGTTCTTCAGTACCCTATAATTAGAGCAGGTCGTATAATTTTAAATAATAGTCTAACAGAATTTCTGTCAACAGGAATGAGCTTCTCAGGTGCTTTAGCAGACAGGCTCAGAATATATACAAATACAGAGGAGCAGAAAACGATTTGCTAACTCTCCAAAAAAAAAAAAGTGTGAACTTTTAAAGAGAGCTCTTGAAAAATTAGGTTTGGTGCCAACAAATACCTAAATACTCTCTCCAATTTTCATTGTTTAAAAATACATCTTAGTTTCAGTGAAGGACTTATAGCATGTCAGTAGATTTCTGTAACCTCATGGTAACCATCAATTTTACACTCATGGGCTATAAGTAACACTGGGATACTGGAATTGTGTCTTGTCATCTCATAGTTGGAGGATGTGTGTGTTCTGGATTTCAATGCTTTGCAGGCTTCACTGATGCTAATACATCTCTGCTTGGACAGTTTTGAGAACAAGCAATGGGATCTTTATACCAAAGGTTGATTTTATACATGAGGCAGGATAAATCTCCAGAACAAGAAAGGTGGTCATCTCTTAGCCTGGCTGTATTTTACTATTTACTTAACCTATAAGAATATATATTATTTTACACCAGGTGGTGGTGGCACAGGCCTTTAATCCCAGCGATTGGGAGGCAGAGGCAGGTGGACCTCTGAGTTAGAGGCCAGCCTGGTCTATAGAGCAAATTCTATGACAGCAAGGGTTACACAGAGAAACCCTATCACACACACACACACACACACACACACACACACACACACACACACAAAAAAGTCAAAAAGAAAAAAAAAGTATATTTTTAAAAATTTCTGCTTCAGAATATGATTCCACAAAATGAGTATAATTACTGTAGTACAATAAAACTGTAGAAAATTATAACTTTCCTAGTTTTTTTCATGACTAATATAGTTTGCTTTAAAAAATTATATGTAGGAGTGCTTCGCCTGCATGTATGTATGTGTACGATGTGTGGGCTCAGACCAGGGTGCTGGATGCCCTGAAACTGGAGTTAGAGACAAGTGGGAACCACCATGTGTTTGCTGGGAACCAAACTTTGGTCCTCTGCAAAAAAAAAAAAAAAAAAAAAAAAAAAAAAAAAAAAAAAAAAGCAGGACTCTTGACCACTATCTCCAGCCTGTACTGCCTATATTTCCGTCAACCTGACCTAAGCTAGGGTGGTCTGGGAAGAGAAAAACCTCAACTGAGAAAACGCCTCCACCTATAGGCAAGCTTGGGAGGCATTTTCTTGATTAATGATTAATGTAGCGGGGCCCAGCTTACTGTGGGTGGGGCTACCCCTGGGCATGTGGAGCAAGCAGGCTGAGCAAGCCATGAGAAGCAAGCCAACACACAATGTTCCTCCATGGCCTCTGGTCCAGTTCCTGTCTCCAGGTTCCTGCTTTGAGTGCTGCCCTGGTACAGAAGGACTGTGACCTGTAAGCTGAAATAAATCCTTTTCTCTGCAAGCTGCTTCTGCATGGCGTTTATCACAGCAATAGTAACATAACCAGGACAAGTCCCACTAGTCTGGTTTTAGTAATTACTATTAGTTTCATTGAGAAAATTTCCTATTCAGATCCTGTATATGTCCTTGAGACAATGCAGAGGGAATTGACAGAAATTCAACATTTCCTGGCTTCTATTTGATGGAACAGAATTTCTCTCAATAGAAAACCAGTGGTAAAAGGGACATTTGGTTCGAGAACTTGGCCAAATGTTCCCTGTTAAAGCCCTTTATATTAAATTCATATCCCAACAACACCTTCACACTTTATCAGAAGTTAGTTTCAATGGCAAGAAGATATGTCAGCTGTTAATATCACTGTTCTTTTATTGTCCAGTAATTTGTTTGCATGTGAAAATTCTCATGTTAAGTACGGTTCAAATTCTACTGTAGTAATAGCATAAAAGTCCCTCCATGTCAGAAGATTTTCATTCTTTAAGGCAGTTTATTTACCGGAGACCTACCAACATATTACAACGTAAGATCCTCAAACCAAAATCACAACATTAACACACCCTAAACCAAAGGTTAATCTTATGAATGCTGAAGAAACTGAGTATGACTTGTAGTACTGCCACAGGAACCTGGGAGTGACATACATCATCTGATTCCCTGATAAGTTCAGTATCTTCCACTTGCACTACTGCATCAGCACCGCAGGGGATTGGAGCACCTGTTGTAACCCGCATCACTTGTCCTGGCATTACTGTCTGAGTTGGCTGGAAGTACAAACAGAAAAGAGAGTTGGTTATGTAGCTACTACACAGGAAAATCTTCAGGGGATATATCATTTGTAAGAAACAAACAATGAAAAGTCTTTTAGGTTTTCTTGTTTTGTTTTTGTTTTTCAAGGCAGGGTTTTCTCTGTGTAGTCCTGGTTGTCCTGGATCTCACTCTGTAGACCAGGACAGCCTCAAACTCACAGAGATTCTCCTGCTTCTGTCTCCTGAGTGCTGGGATTAGAGGCGTTTGCCACCACTGCCCACATGAAAAATATTACAATTTTATCACTTAGGGCCATATCCACAATGCAGCCACTCGTAAACAGCTGCATTCACACCCAAGAGTCTGCACCTTGATTTAAGCTGACTTTATTTGTACTTTAAGGTACTCTTTTGGAGCCCCGTTTTGAAGAACTGCCACTTACATTTGCCACTATTGCTTTTCATTCAAATAATATGAACTGTGTCAAGGTAAACTTATTTCAGAGTCTGTCAGAAAAAATTCTAAGTCATCGGAGATTACAAATGACAAATGTAAAAACCCATCATTTAGGTAATTTGCTGAAGTTCTGTTGTTTGACAAATATGGTACTTCATGAAGTAAAGTTTTTGGTCAAATAAAGGTGGTCAGGAAAGCCATTTTAATTATTTCTCTTGAATAATTTCCTAAAACATAGTATTTCACTTATCAGTTAATAAAAGTCTAATATGTAGACTTAAATCACTTAAAAACACCCCAAACATCCCAGTGTTTGTAATAATCTGTACTAAATATTGTTTTGAAATTTAAAAATAAAATTTTAATGTCTTAAGTTTAAAAATTTTAAAAATTACATCTATTTATTTTACATATGCGAGTCCACCACAACACACGTGTAGAAATAAGAGAACAATTTGTGAAGTTGGTTCCATTGCTTAAATTCTTGTACAGAAGTTGTGTGTAGGGTAGGACTTGCCTGGGAAATCTTCCAGAATGGACAATGCATGTATCTGCCTGAACCATCTGATAGGTTACACAGGCTTCAAGAGAGTCACTTTGTCAGAGGTCATGATTAAGGACAGAACAGAAAAAAGAATGCTTTAAACTACCCCTGTAAGAAAATCCTGAGACAATAGTAAAAAATGTTTAAGAATATTTTAGTTTTATTTATTTCATGTATGTGAGAGTTTTGCCTGTATGTATGTACGTACATACGTATGTATGTTCACCATGAGCAGGCCTAATGCCCCCAAAGGGCAGAAAAGGGCATTTGATGCCCTGGAATTAGAATTACAGTTGGGTATAAGCCTCTCTGTGGGTGCAGGGAACTGAGCCTGGGTATTCTGTAAGAGTAGCAAGTGCTCTTAATTGCTGAGCCATCTCTCTAGTCCCACGTCATGTGCTTCTTAACACACACACACACACACACACACACACACACACACACACACACACACAAAAATGCATATATGAATCTTAGACAATAGTTTAAGGAAAACTATCCCACTGTCAGAAGTATAAAGTACTTGATAAGAAGATCAATAAGTTAAAGTAAGAACATGTTTAAATGTTCTATATAAGACTTTATAGTAAAAAAAACCTTAAAAAGTTTTTCTATACTATTGATTAAAAAATACTACAAAGTAGCTAATAATCTCTGAACTCCTAAATTCACTCTAGGTAAACTATTAAATTTATTATATATTGTAGAATTTAAGTTCTACCAAGAGAAACATCTATTTACTTCTGGCTTGCCTCTGCAGATCACACCATTGTTTTGTAAGCTCTGTTCTGCCCAGAATGCTGACATAGCTCTATAGACTATTATAATCTGGTTCCCATCACTTTGGCCTCTGGATAAGGATTAGCCAGTGGAAAAGGAACACAAGAGATTAGAAGGTAGGAGGGAGGAGGAGCAGGGCTGTCATTCCCTTCCTTCTTGCTGCAGTTTGGTGGTGGTTAGGACATCTTCACTAACCGAAGGCCATGGCTCCTTTGGGGATCCTGCACCAGAGCTATGGATTTCTCCAAGTTGAGGTACTACTGTCTCCTTTTTCTCCTTTCAGCATGGAGGTAGTGATGGAATGTCACTGTAGCTAGTTTCTTGGTTTCTTACATCCTTCTGTGGTTCCTCTTAGTTCTGTCCATGTTTTGGAAACAATCCCACATTTGTCTTTATAACCTCTCCTTTTCCAGATATATTCTCTATTATCTCAAGGCCTAGGAAGTGGTTGGCATACAGTTGTCAGTCTAATAAATATTTCTAGAACAGAAAAGTGAATATGTATTATCTCATTATTACAAGAATTTCATGAAGTATGCATTGCTTATTGGTGTATACCTCCAGTGTTCTCCCTATTATTAGAGAAAGAGATATGTGTGGTAAGATCTAGCACAAGTTACATGCTTTAAACCCTTTTACTCTGCTAATTTCAATAAAAGGCATTCTAGTATTGTTCAGAATTGTTACATATTCACTTAAGTTTATACCAAAATAATACATGGGATTTAAAGTAAAAACTTAGGGCTACTTTCTTCTAAAAGCTCTGTTTTTCAATTGCAGATACCACTTTTAATCTGGGACATCTTTTTTTTTATTAATTCTTTGAGAATTTTGTACAGTATGTTTTGATCATATTCATACTCTTCCCCCATAAGTCTTCCCACATCAAACCTGATTTCACCCTCCCCATCGAATACAGTTTGTGTTATCTGACTACTCAGGCTATGGAGTCTGCCCTGAGTATGGCTGATATATCAGGATCACACCATTGATGAAAACTGACTTTACTCTCCCTCCCCAAGCAGCATTCAGATGCCAACAGCTCTTCAGCTAGGGGTGGGGTTTCACGCCCCCTACCCCACCCTGCTCCATGTTGGGGTTTTGTTTGGCCTGAGCTTGCGCAGGTGATTTTCACGTTGTCATAACTGCTGTGAGTTCTTACGTGCCTTGTGGGGTCTGGAAGAAGATGCTGTTTCCCAGGTCCTCCACTACCTCTGACTCTTATTATCTTTCCACCCTCCTCTGTCTAGATGCCAGAGATGTGAAGAGAGGAGTGTAATACAGGAATTATTGGAGACATATCTTAGTGATCATTTCATAGCATATTTGTTTTTGATAAAAAAAAAAAAGTGTTTTCATGTGAGATACATGTTTCAGTGCCCAAACTATCTTCTGGGCCTGTGGAACACTGATATTTCAAATAGGTCTACAGAGAACTCTTTGCTAAAAAATTTACATTAGAAAGTCAATTCTAATACAAATTTCAGGGCTATTGCTTCTTTTAAAATTTATTATCTTATTCTAGGTATTTTGTTTGCAAAGGCCAGAAGGCAGATAGATATCTTAGAATTGGAGGTACAGACAGTGGAAAACTGCTGTCTGGGTACTGGGAATCAAATCTAGGTCCTCTGGAAGAGCAGGCAGTGCTCTTAACCTCTGAGCCATCTCTCCAGCCTAGGCTACTGAATCTGAAGCTGAGCTGTGTTAACCTCAGTTTATCTGGACTCTATATACTACACCAGTAAACTTACTTTAAGTGCTATTGCCATTGAATCTCTAATTTTCTTTATTATTATTATTGTGTGTGTATGATGTGCCTGTGTGTGAACCAGGTAACAAGTAGATGTCAGAGGACAACTTTCAGGAGTTGGTTCTTTCTTTTGCTGTAAATTCTTGAGATCAAACTCAAGTTTGTCATGCTTGTGTGACAAGTGTTGTTACCAGCTAAGCCCTGGGTGGCCCTCTAATTTTCTCTATTTTTGGCTTAAATCAACCATATATAAATATATATATATACAATATATATATACACATAAATATATACATAAAATATATAAATATAATTTATTTATTTTTTGAGACAAAGTTTGTGTAGTCCTGGATGTCCTGGAACTCACTCTGTAGACCAGGCTGGGCTCAAACTCACACAGATCCACCTGTCTCTTCCTCCCAAGTGCTGGGATTAAAGGGGTGTGCCATCACTGCCTGGCTAACTCAAAATATTTTAATGTGGTTATTAAATAATTTTTAAAATATTTTTTATTTTCGATTTTTTTTTTTTTTGATTTAGGATATTGCTGTATTGTCTAGGCTAACCTCACAATTCTCCTGTACAATCTTGGTGAATGTTGGGACTGTATGTAGTAGTGCCACCAGCCCTGGCAAAAATCTGGCTGTTTTCTAAGATCATAAATTCTAAATGGTAGGAAAAAGATTCTTACCAGCTTACATTATATTAAACCCAATATTAAAGATATTACTGGATATATAAAAACTTATATATCTACTTAGATCAAACAATACAAATGTCATGTGAAGAAATCAATTACAAAGGTACATTCTAGTGATATATGACATATTTCCTTTAGTCTGTAAAGGTGAGCAGGTATTCTTTCTTATTAAATTGAAATTTCCTATGTGCTTCATATGCATATATACAGTAAAAAGTCAAAATCTTGGCTTTTTATTTTTGGAGGTACTGAGTCTTGTTCTTTGGGAATCTAATGACAATATTTTATAATAACATATTTTTTCTCTGAAAGCATCCAATGCTAATTGTAAGGACCAAACTATTAGTGATTTAAGGTTACATATTTTAAAGCACTAAGTGATTTTATAAATCAATGTCCTTGTGTATACAATGGCACCTCAATGCTCAATTGTAACCTGTGAATGAGCAATGCAGTTCTTGCAAGATATCTGAGATTGTTCTAAGTGTATGTTGTAGAATATTATTTTAAGGTGTGTTACTTTCGTTTATGTTGCACTTGTTTAACTCTTGTGAAGTGTGCCTGTCTAAAACACCTGATGGTCTAATAAAGAGCTGAACAGTCAATAGCAAGGCAGGAGAAAGGAGGACAGGCAGGGCTGGCAGGCAGGGAGAATATATAGAAGAAGAAATCTGGGAGGAGAAAAAAAGAAGTAGCCAGAGAAGGAGGAGGACACCACAGGTCAGCCACCCAGCTACACAGGCAGACACAGAGTAAGAGTGAAAGCAAGATTACAGAAATAAGAAAAGGAAAAAGCCCAGAGGCAAGAGGTAGAAGGGCTAATTTAACGTTAAGAAAAGCAGGTTAGAAATGAGTGAAGTGAAGGCCGGGCATTTATAAGTAACGTTAAGCCTCCATGTGTGATTCATCTGGGAGCTGGATGGTGGGCCCCCAAAAGAGAAAAAACAACCAACAACATTATGTATAACACATATTATAGATAAAGAATGATATTCTGAAGAAAAAGCTGCTTCCATGGACTAGTTTGAACTCATCCCATCAAGCCTTCTATGAGAACTTAAAAACTGAAGTTTCACAGTTCTTTTTATGCTCCTAGTTCTCTAGTTTAGTTAGAAGTAACTAACAAATAGGGTGTAAGAAGTTTAGAGACCCTTAATGTGCTATGTTGTGGCTAACATAAACCATCTGTAGTTCTCTGAGTAGTTTATGGAATTTTTGTTGTTGTTGTTCTTTTAAGGCCGGGTTTCAGTATCTACCTATCTACCTACCTACCTACCTACACACCCACCCACCCACCCATCCATCCATCCATCCATCCATCCATCCATCCATCCATCCATCCATCCATCCCTGGCTGACCTGGAATTTACTATGCTGCCCAGGTTGACTTTGACCTTGCAGTGACCCTCTAAGGTGCTGCAAATATAGGCATAATTTTGCCAGGCCAGGCACATCTGGACCTATACCGCTCTCTGCCTAGAGTGTTCCAATATTATCCTCCTAAGTATCTACTGTTGAAATGTTCAGTTCTCTTCTGCACTCTAATATGTTTGACTGACACCATTATTTCAATAACTAATATACTGTATGATATTTAGTTGTTTATGCTGACTCCTTAAGAGAAGAAATTATGTCTTAATGTAAGTTACATGCCAGAATTTAACACCTGCTAATCATGTCAGTGTGCTGGATAAAGGAATGCTGAGTAGACTCAATTAGGGGTCAGACAAGTATTTCTTGTACACTCATTTTGTGGCTTTACTATAAAAATGGATGCTTTTTACACTCATATCTGATATGTGCTAAGTGATCAAATAAAGTAAAAAAAAGTCAAAGGGAGTCACTGGGTAAAGTGTTTAATGTGCAAATGCGAGGACCCGAGTTTGAATTCCCAGAACCCATGAAAAAGCAAGCACAGTAGCATGTACCTGTAACCCCAGTGCTCCATGATGAGATAGGAAGTGAATATAAGAAAATTCCCAGAGGCTCAAAGGCTGAGTATCCTTGCACACACAGCAGTGAGTAACAAAGAAACTGTCTCAAACAAGGTGGGTATTGACATCTGAGGTTGTCTTCTGACTTGACTGTGTACCATAACATCATGTATGTACCCACACTCACACACAAATACACACACACACACACACACACACACACACACACACACAAAGGCCTACCTATTTTTTCCCTAAGTAGTATGTGAAAATAAAATAGCAATAAATAATTTAAAAATGTGTTAGTTTTGGTAAAAACTATTGCCATGTCTTCTTTTCTTTCTTGGTTTATCATGCACTTTTGTAAGTACCTAAAATAGACATGGGTTAAGGTACAAGTAGAGGGATGATGCCAACATTAGCCACCCTGGCTTCTTTACTTAAACATTGATGTACATGCTGTTCTAGCCAGAAAAATCAAAATTTGTAGGAAGAATCACTCAATCATAGGGCTAGAGAATACCTACAAGGTATGCCTGGGAGGATGTAACAAAACTATTTATTATACCACATATCGATAGATGGAGGGTTCTTTAACTAATGTTGGTTTTGTTGTTGTTCACATGGGACCTTTCTTTTATCCCTTTGATAGTCTTCTGACTAATCCTTCTTTAAGACTTCCACAATGCTGATATAGGAAACTTGGAATTGGACGCCCAAAGTCTGTGAAGCAGAAATCTGCAGTGTCTTTCAGGCTTATGAATCTCACCTGTTCACCAGCTTGGGATTCCCCAATGATGAAACGATCTCCTGGACCATCAGCAGCTGTGAGATGGAACAGAGCCAAGAATAAATATCAGCATGGACTTCAAGCAAGGAACAAGAATCTAGTATTGAGATTCTAAGATTTCATTAAAATTGTGTTCAGGAAAGTAGACTGTATTTCTGATTTCCTAAAGTAGACAATGTCCTTTCTACTACTGGTTTATCTTCGGTATCCAACAGATTCCAAGTATCAGCAGAAGTGGATCTATTTGTGCTCTTTCTTGACATCACTGGAGATGGTCTTCATGAGATGCCATCCTTTCCATACTTGTGCTTTCTAACATGATGTTCATTTGGCTTATTCTTTCAAATGGTATAACTTACCCATGTACTTGTAATAATAAGTGCACAGTCACGGATATATGAGCACATCACTTTACATATTCAAACTTCTCCAATTTGTTGTAACAGTTTTGTTTTTTTACTTCTTAACATTTTCTTATTTATTTAAAATAAAATCAGAAAATCAATGGATTAGAAATAATGCTGCTTATGAGCTGGAATAAACAAGCTTTACTGCATCATATTTTCCACTTAGTATTTTCAGTGCTGGAACTAGGGCCTTGCCATGCCAGGCAAGTGCTCTAACACTGAGTTACACTCCCATTTCTGGCTACTTATTTTCATTTTTAGGAATGAAAAGTATTTATTAATTTTTTTTTGAGACAGAATCTCATTGTATGGCTCTATGTGGGTGGGGATGGCTATGCAGATCAGGCTGGGCTTGAGTTTGAGGCAGCTCTCCTCCATCTGCCTTCCACTTACTGGGATTATAGACATGTACCACATGTGCCAGGTAAAATTACTTAAAAAATCTTTTGAGCATATATGTGCATTTGTGTGTGCAAATGCAAGCACATGTGTGGTATAGTGCAAATGTGGATCTCAGAGGACAGACAACCTTTCCTACTCCCTTATTTAAGACAGTGTCTCTGTCATTTTCTGGCTACATATGGTGGATTAACTGGTCCTTGAGCTTCTGTTTCTTCCTTCCATTCCCCTGTAGAAGCTTTAGGATTATGGACACTTATGCTTGATTTCTGAGGATATGAGCTCAGGTTCTCAAGCTTACTTGGCAAGCATGTTTACCTACTGAGCTTTTATCCTTAGCTCTTAAAGCCATTTATCTCAAATTGGAAAAAAAATCCCAGAACTAGGACTTAAACAAAACAAAACAAAATAAACTTTTCAGCTGGGCAGTGGTGGCACATGCCTTTAGTCTCAGCACTTGGGAGGCAGAGGCAGGCAGATCTCTGTGAGTTTGAGGTCAGCCTGGTCTACAGAGTGAGTTCCAAGACAGCCAGGGATACACAGAAACCCTGTCTCAAAAAACCAAAATCAACCAACCAACCAACCAACCAAACAAACAAACAAACAAACAACTTTTCTTGTTTAGTCTCATCCATTCCTTTTCCAGTGCCTGATATATATAGTAAAGTAATGACTGGGGAAAAAAATTCCTAAAGAATAGTATCTTTTCCTGATATATTATTTGGGTTTCAGATCAATACTACTGGCAATGCAAGGCCTATCTAATGAGTTTTAGGATCACTAATGTTATTTCCATGTCATTGATATAGCAAAGGGGGTTGAGGCCTATATATGGAAAAGATAACACATTATATATGAATATTTAATTATATTGGCAATAACAGTGACAACTAAACATCTTCCATTTTAAAGGAGAAATATGGACTCATTTTATTCTTTCCTCCCTTCTCTCCATTTTGCCCATCCCTTTGTAAGAGCAGTACAAGCTGTCCTGTAATTCAGCATGTAGCCCACACAGTTCTTGAACTTGTACTGTTCCTGTCTCCACCTTCAAAGAGTTAGGATTACAATCATGTATTATCATGCTTAGCTGTTTCTTAAGTACAAGGCAGTATTTTTTTCTAAAGGCTTACATAAAATATTGTTTATGAGTCACTTTTTTTTTCACAGTTGACTTTGTTACTTTGATGTAGCGAGGGACAAAAATTAATACTGGATCCCTTTTATTAGTACATGTTGTGTCTTGTCCTTTATAAATATTATCTCAGTGAATAAATTCTTGGAGTTTTATATTTTTTGGAAACCTATCATACTAAATTAGAAAAGTTTTCCTAAAATGCTATTTTTATAATGTCACTTTTATAGGTTCATTTAAAAAAAAAACAAACTTTCAACACCAGGAAATTTTAATGCAAATAGATGGAACTAGAAGAAAAATCATTCTGAGTGAGGTAACCCAGACCAAGAAAGACAGACATGGCATGTACTCACTCTTAACTGGATATTAGCTGTAAAATAAGGATAACCATGCTACAATCCACAGACCCAGAAAGGCTAGGTAACAAGGAGGGTTCATGGGGGGGATACCAAGATCTCCCTCAAAATGGGAAATGGAAGAGATTTTGTGAGTGGACTGAAGGCAGGTGAGGATGGGAACTTGAGGGATCAGGTTGAGGGGTAGACAGAGGGAGAGAGTATTGAAAGAGACTATTGGAAAGCGGGGAGGGGCATTTTGGGGTCAGGTAGAAACCTGGCAGAAGGGAATTTCCAAGGATGACCCCAACTAAGATTCCTAGCAATAGTGGATATGTAGTGTGAACTGGTCATCTCGTGACTAGGCAAGACTTCAAGTGGAGGGAGTGGGAAACCAACCCAGCCACAGAACCTTTGACCTATAATCTGTCCTGCTACAAGATATGCTGGGGTAAGGGTGGCCTAGAGGTGGAGGGAGTGGCCAACCAATGACTGGTATAGCCTAAAACCCATGCCACCCCTGACATTGCCTGGTGCACTAGAACCCACAGGCTGGCTGGCCCAGAGACCTAGGATAGAACCAAACATGATTAGAGGAAAAGTCAATGTAATGATGCCTAACGCTATTCTGCTATACACATAGAGTGGTGCCTAGCCCAATTGTCATCAGAGAGGCTTCATCCAGGTACTAATGGAAACAGATTCAGAGACCCACAGCCAAACCATTAGGTGGAGCTTGGGAAATCCTGCAGAATAGAGAGAGGAAGGATTGTAGGTGCCAGAGTGGTCAAGGACATCACAAGAAAACCTACAGAATCAACTAACCTGGGCTCATAGGGGCTCATAGAGACAGAACTGACAACCAGGGAGCCTGCATGGGACTGACCTAGGCACTCTGCATATATGTTACAGTTGTGTGGCTTGGTCTATTATGGGACTCCTAACAGTGGGAACAAGGGCTGTCTCCAACTCTTTTACTGCTTTTGGGATCTCATTCCTCATACTGGGTCACTTTGCCCAGGCTTAATACATGGGATGTGCCTAGTCTTACTGCAACTTGATATGCCATATTTTGTTGATGCTCATGGGAGACCTCCTCTTACCTAAACAGAATGGAGGAGGAGTGGATTGGGGGGTTGGGAACAGAAGGGGGGTAGGATGGAGGGCCTGGGAGAAGAGGAGGGAGAGGAAACTGCAACCGGGATGTAAAAGTAAATAAAATATAAAAACAATGTGCATACCAAAACACCCCTTTTAAACAATTTAAAACACAGGCAAAACCATTACTTCAAGAAATATCAACATTTTACTAATGTTAATATATCAAACAACTTATTTTTGCATTATTTTAAAGCAAATTACTTTTTATTGAAAAACCGATGAATCAATTATATTTTATAATTCCAGACTGTCAAATGTGAACGAGCTTCTTTTAATTATTTGATTATTTCTCTACTAGAGAAAATAATCATCTGCTTGTTTCCTCTCACAGCAATCAAAATTCCAATTCTCTTTCTTTCCTTTTTCTTTTTGCACAAGAGTGAAAGCATGGTTTGAAGTACTAGAGCAGAGCTGAATCTGAATCATGTTTCTGCCTATTACTAGATTCAGGACTTTCAGCAAAACTATTAAGCCTCTAAGCTTGCTAGTAAAGGTAAAGATAATCATGATATATATATAAATAGTCACCCCTTTAAGTCTTTCAGTAAATTCCTACCAAGTGTCTTCTACTCTCTGTGTCAAATTAAGTGCTGAGGACAGTGTAGAGAGTAAAATGACATTATTTCCATTTTAATGCTGTGCTAGACTGTTTCAAGTTTTTTTCAAACTCTGGATCCAAAATGGCAATGGAACATAATATTACCTTGTAAACATTTTGCTACTGGAAAAGAACAGAAAAACGTTATTTCATAGGTCAAGTGCAGTGGTATGTGACTGCAGTCTCAGTTGCTCCAGAGGCTTAAGTGGTATTGCCATTTGTGTGTCACAATTCAAGACCAGCCTAGGTAACACGGTGAGATACCTCTCTTGAAATCAAATACCCTTCCCCATAAAAGCAGTGGCAGAACATTTGCCTTGTATATTCAAGGTCCTACATTCAAGATCCAGCAGTTCAATAGGTATGCATTCATCATGCATAACTACTGTTTCATAAAACTTGTTTTTCCATCTACCTATACATACATATTCATATGTACTGTATACATTGTATGTGTATATAACATTGGCTTATGATGTATAACTTTCTTAATGTACTTCTTCTCATGCACAAATGTGGCCCAAAAAACCCAGCCATTGATATTAGGAGATGTAAAAATATTGATATTAGGAGAAGATATTAACCAGATAATCACATTAATGAACATATAAGCACAGATTAGAAAAATCTCTTTAAAGATTTTTTTTTGGGTGTGTGTGTGTGTGGGGGCCCGGCTCTAGCTACGTAGCTCAGGCTAGCCTTAAAATACAATTATTCTGCCTCATTCTCTGCCAGGCTTACAGACATGTACCACCACATATGGCTAGAAACATGCTTTTATGAGAGTATATAGTGAAAACTCCTGAGGTACTCAGGAAGGTCAGAAAAGCTTACTCAGACAAAAAGATTTATGATTTGAGTATGAAGGATAAGTAACAACTAAGTAAGTAGAGGGATGTTGTAGTCAGATGTTGTCCTGTGTCTCGCTCAGCCTGTGTTCAGGACAAATCCCTCCCACTCGTGTCCTGAAGCTGCTTAGTCCCAAGTAAACACACAG